CCCACCTCCCCCCCCCACCCCCACCTCAGCCCTCCTACCTCTCCAGGCTCATCCAAGATAGACATCCATCCCTTCTTGAAGTTGAGCAGATCGGGCTATGGGGAGAGGAGGGGGCAGATGAGTCAGGCCCAGCAAGAACCAAAGGGGCCTGGGGAGGAAGGCGGGCTGCCCATCCTGCCCCCGAGTGAGGTCCTGGGAAGCCCGGAGGGAGGGCTGAGGGCCCAGGTAGCCCCCTAAATCCAGGCAGGCTCCCCAGCCACTGAGGCAGCCTTGGTCCCTTTCCCGAACATCCGGCACCCGAACATCCGGTGGGCTGGGTGACTGGCCACCCACCACAGACCTCTGAGCTGCCTTCCCACCAGCCGGCTTCCTCACCTGAGAGTGGGACAGGGGGCAGGAGATCTCTGACTGTAAAAAGAAACCCTTAGAGAGCTCAGAGGACAGGCCAGATCAGCAGGGCTGAGCGAACCATCCAGTTCTCGGTGATGAGGCCCAAGCGGCCCAGCAGGACAATGCCTTAATGCTCCTACCCATTCCCAACCCACTAACCCTTGCATGGTCCAACCAGCCCTGCCTTTCCCTCATCTCCTGGAGAGCCTGAAAGATGGACCCAGGCCCAGGCTGAGGTCAGAGACCTCCTGGTCCCCCCCTAGATCTCTGGAAGGGCCGGGGAGATGGCACCTCAGTCCCAGCAAGCCCTACCTGCCGGGTGCTGCTCAGGGGGGCACGGCTCCGGGGTCTGGGGGCTCCCAGCTGTAGCATGTTCCATGGGGGCCTGTGAGCTAGGTCCCCCCCACCTAACCCTAGATGACAAAACTGCTCATCCAGGCATTTTCTCTGGCCAGGCCTATCCACAGACCCTCCCTGCCTGCTGGGGAGACCACTCTCTCCTCTAAGTCCCAGTCCTCCTGCAGAGGTTCAGCTCGTGCCCACTGGCGGGCCAGGCTGGCAGGCAGGGAGGAGGCGGCCACCTGTTGCCATGGCTCTGAGCCCACCTATCAGCACCTGCATCACAGCCTCACCAGGCCAAGGTGTCCGGTTGCATGGAGGGAGCGGGTGGCATGGCTCAGTGGGGTGGGCGGCGATGGTGGTGGCGGCTGGAAACCTGGAAACCGGAGCCACCTGACCTGGCCACCTCCCCTGACCCGCCTTTCTGTCAGGGAGCCCCATTCTCCTCTTCCTCAGGTGGAGGAAGAGACCTGAGAGGGGCTTGGGCCAGCAGCCTGGACATCCTGAGCCGTCTCCAGCCATGGCCTTGGGACCAGGGCCCCTGGATCTCGGCAGGCTGGCAGCCCAACTCCTGCATCGCAGCCCCTGCCCGGAGACCTGCCTGAGGGAAGGGACACAGGCTCTGCCCAGACCTGGGAAACCCCAGGCTGCGTATGCTGCCTGCTCTCTCCTTCCCCGCCCTGCTCCCCACGTGGGCCGGAAGCCGCTCAGGGTGGTTCCAAGCTAAGACTGAAGACAGGTAGCCACGCTCAGGGCCACCAGGTCACCTGGGTCCACATGCAGATGGAGACCCCCCTGTGGCCCCAGGGGAAACGTGCTGAATAAACATCCACCCTCCTCTACCTCCCTGATCTAAATTCCTGTGCTTCTGAGGCAGTCCGCACCTCCACCTCCTGGTGCTGAGAATGAGAAGCCAGGCCTTCTGGGATGGACCACGGAGCTGGCATCACCGTGCTGACCCGAAGACAGCCCCCGGAAAGGACAAGCCGATAACCCAGCCAATCGGACTGAGCTGAGCCAGGGCTGGGAGATCAGCTGTGGGCTTCCAGAGGCTGAGGAAGGGCAGGAATGACAGGCTGGGACCCTGAGGGCTGCCTGGGAAGTGGGGTCACGGTGACCTTCCTAAGTCACATGCCCTCCCTGAGCCCAGCTGCCTGATGTGGCTATTGATAGCGGGGCCCTGCCCTCCCCCCGGTTCCGTGAGAGAACTGAATGGGCCACACATGGAGACGCCAGCGCACACACCACACACATGCCGCACACGAGCCGCATCAAGCACGAGATGGTGCAGTGACCTTGGGGAGAGGAGCTTTTAAACCTGCTGCCAGGAGGGGTCCTGAAGTTACCCTGGGACCCCCCCCCAGGGGCCAAAAGATCTGATAACATAAATCTCCTCTCCTGCGCCTTCACCCGTGGCTCCTCAGGCCCAGACACCGTTCCTCCTCCTGCAGGAAGCTCCCTTTCTCCTTTTTCCTTTCCGGAGCACTGACAGGTCCTCACAGTGGGCCCTCGTTCCTTTGGCCACAGGTCAGTACTGCCTCCCGCTGGCCTGGACCATCGACACAGCCTCCTGTAAGGACACTCTGGCAGGGGACCCGATCCAAAAGGCCGAATGTCACAAGCCGCTTAAAACCTCCAGGGATGGCTCCAGACGGCTGCAGAACAAGGTCCAGCTGCCTTAGGATGGCACAAAAGCCTCACCCTGGACTCCCCACTGCTTAGGGGGCCCGATGTTTATGTCATCACACATCCTCTCTGATGCCCAACACATCAGGACTAGTAGGGCCCTCCACACATGCCTGTGTCCTCTGCTTGAAATACCAGGCAGCCGCCTCCTCCTCCTTCGACCAGGCAAACCCCTTCTCATGCCTTAAGACCCGGCGTAATTGCCACGGCAGAGGCCCCTTTCCCAGTACACGCCACGCACCACACCAGGCGACCTCCCACGGCCTCTGCTGCATCTGTGATTGCATTTACTTATCCCTCGCAGGCTAGACTAGAAGCAACTCAGTCAGGGAGTTCATGCCCCAAGACCCGAGGACTCAGGGAACATTCATAAAAATTTCTTTCTTTCTTTCTTCTTTTTTTTTTTCTCTTTCTTTTTTTTTTTTTCTTTTGGAACCAGGCCCCTGTTCTACACCAGGAAATCAGCTGTGAACAAGAGATGTGGCCCCTGCCCTGGTGAAAACTCAGGACAGAAACAGACAATAAACAAGTGAAGAGGTATATAATTTGATGCCAGGTAGCAGCTGGGGAATGAAGCTCCAGGGGCAAGGCTGCACCCGGCTAGCACAAAAGGAGGTGGAGCAGATCCTGACTCCAGGCCTGGCTTCCTGAAGCCTCTAAGCATTTACCCAGTCACAGCACCTTTGCCACTTGCTCGTTCAGATTCCTGAGGTCGGGGAGATGGGGCCAGGAGAGAGGAAAAGGGTATGAAGAAGAAACAGGAAGGACACCGGCCTGGAGCAGGCTCAGGTCTGAAAGCGGCCAGGATGAATCCAGTAAACACTGTCAAAGGTGATTGTGAGCCTCCCGTCCGCTCCGAAACCTCTCATGGCTCCCCAGTGCCCCTGACCAAAGCCCAAGCTGCTCTTCCTGGCCTTTGAGGCCCTCCTTCCCAAGTCCCTTTTCTATGTTTTCACCATTTAATTCCCCAAATATGGCCACCAGCCTTTGTCCACACTGTCCCTCCTCCCCCAGTCCATCTCCACCTGACCAAGTCCTACAGTCACAGGAGGACATCTCCCTCGGGAAGCCCCCTCCCATCAGCAGAGATGTGCTATCTTCCTCCACATGCTGCTTCTAGCAGCCTTACCCTTGTTCAGTGTATGCTTCCCCAGGAAAGGCAACTGTGTACATTTCTTATCTCATCCTGAGAGAAGACTGGGACAGACCTGGTTACAAACTCTGGCTCGGCCAGGGCCCAGCTGTGTCACCTGTAACTTCACCTCTCTACACCTCAGTGTCCTCATCTGTTAGATGGGGAGTTACCATCAACCTTCAGGGTTCCAATGTGGTAATGTGAAAGCACCCAGTTCAGGGCCTGGCAGGTACCCAGTCAGCAATGAAACCACCCCCCACTAGCCTGCTGGGGGGTGGGGGGGCGGGCAGCCAAGACACTGACTCAGCTCCTCCCCCCCACATCCCTCTCTACTCCTCCCTGACAGGGAAGGGGCGGCTGCTGACAACAGGAAGGGCCAGCAGAGAGGTGGCAGGATGTGCAGAGCCTGAGGAAGTCCAGGCAGTGACCAGGTCATCACACTCACAGGGGCAGGGCCCCTGCATACAGCACCCTGCTCAACTCTCCCCACCCTCCTCATCAGGCTGTCAGAGCCTCCCTAAGGCACTTGCCAGAAACCAAAAGCAGTCCTGCCCCTCTCTTCCAGAACATCACAGTCAAGGGGCCAGAGTGACGTGGAAAAGGGCTACTCCTTCCCTTACACTCAGGGCAACCTCTGGCAACTCACCAACGCCCCTCCCCAAGCCTCAGTTTATCCGACTGTAAAATGGGGGTAATGGTGAACTCAGCTATGAGGTGCAATATGATAAATAAGGCGCATGTATTGAGAGAGCTTGGGTAGGGCTCATCCTCAAGAGAAAGACAAATCCGTGCCATCGTGTTCCCCACCCTCAAGAGCGGGCCTGCCCCACCCAAGGTCCCATCGCCGCTGCGAAGTGGCAAGCCCGAAGTGGCAAGCCCGGGAGAACGTGGTATCCTGCTGCTTCAGAAGTCCCAGGACGGGCTCTGATCAGGATGGGACGAGGCGGCCCCTTCTCACCCACCCAACCTCCGGCCAGCGCCCACACAGGCGTACAGCCTTCCCAGGCCCACATCAGCGCGACCCATCCGAACCAGGGAGCGCCTCTCTCCAGGCCCCGGCGAGACCCAGATCCAGGCCAGGCCCATCTCCGCTCCTCCCGTGGCCCAGAACCCTGAGAGACCCTACGGATCTGGCAGCTTAGGAGTATCAGATCAGGTTTTCACTAAGGGGGGGAGCTGGAAGGGAGAAGGGAAAAGGCCACCCGGAATCTGTCCGTGATTGGTCCCGCAAAAGTGAAGGGGTGGTGCCTGGGAACGAGAGTTCCCATCTTCTCGGGGGTTGCCCGGGCTTCTGGCCCAGAAAGGTGAGGCGGAGGCCGGGGGATCGTGAGGCAGGACGACCGGCCCGTGCCGCCGGGGTCGCCCTGTCTTCCGGCCGAGACCTCCTCTCGCTTCCGAGAAGTGAGGAGGGGGCTGCCCAGGAGGGGAGCGGCTCGGCTCTGGCTCTGGCCGTTGCTCTCATCTGGACCTGGGGCGCAGAGGGGCTGCCCCCCGGGGAGGCACTCACCGTCATGGCGGCACCCCGGGGCGGCGAGAGCAGGAGGCAGGAAGGTGGAAAGGGCTCTCGGGCCGGGCTCAGCGGCGCGGGAATCCCGCCGCCGCCGCCGCCGCCGCCGCCCCTCTCGGCCGGCCGCTGCCGCTCGTCCGGCCCTTCCCTTCCCTGGCGCTGCCCCGGCCCCTTCCATCCGCCCATAAAACTTTTTTTTTTTTCAAACTTCCTGGGAGGACCCGGGCGGGCCAATGGGCGGCAGGGAAGCCGAGACAAACAGTGGCGGGGGCCTCGAGTGGGCCAATAGGAGCGCGGGACGGGCCCGGGGGCGGGGCCTGCCGCGACGGGACGGGTGAGCTGGGGCAGTCGGGGCGGGCGGATGGGGGCGGAGGGAAGTGAGGGCGGGCCGAGCTCTGACGGCGGGCAAGCTGGGAGGAAGGAAGGGCCTAGCGTGCAGGTGACTCCGTCGGGCCACGGCTAGGGAGTGCGGGGTGGGGGCAGCCGGGTGTGGCAACCTCGTCGTACAGCAACGGCTCTCCGACCCGCGCCAGCCGCCGGACGGAGCGATGGGTCCATTAGGCCTCGGCGCCTCGGTTTGATGGCGACACGGGCAAAGCACCCATTACTACCAATTCAGCGGTCCCACACGCCAAGCCCCGCTCGTTACCCATGTAATGGACTTTCATCCTTACCACAAACCCGAGAGGTGATATCCTTGTCCCCATTTTACTAATGAGAAAACGGAGGCTCAGAGAGGTGAGCCAACTTGCCCAGGGTCACACAGTAAGAAGAGAAGGGATTCCTAGGAAGTAATCTAAGCACAAAGTGAGTTCTGGAATTGGTAGGGCCTTCCCTAAACGAACCCTCCTCACCGGGGGTCTTTCTCGCCTTAAGAACCTCATTTTGGGTTCTTGGGTGTGGGCTATACCCGTTTCTCACTTTCCCAGAACGCTTGGTGGTTTGTAAAAGTACTTTTGCCCTGCAGAAGCTCCTCTAAGCCCGCAGCTGAGGAGGTACTGTGGTGGAATTTGTTGCTAAATGCATGAGGTGGCTTATGGGGCATTGTGATTTAAACCTTCTATTACCTTAAGCAAGGTCCTTAATCTCTCTGTGCCTCAATTTCACCCTCTGTAAAACTGGATAATGCTGTTATCTCACAGGCTACTGTAAGGATTAAGTGTTAGTTTAAGTAAAGCACCTAGAACAACCCCTTTATCCCTAGTTAGCTCTCCTTAGGTAGGGGCGCAGGGGAGCTTGGAATAATTACCACTTCAATGAGTCTGCCATCTCAGTTTGGGGTTCGAAAATTATTGCTGTCATGATTATAATCACTATCTCCGTTTCACAGATAAACAGAGGCCCAGGGAGCTGAAGTTTTCCCAGCATTTCCCATTGGAATTCTCTCCTCCACCCTGAGGAATGAGACCAAGGGTAAGTCCTCCTAGACACTGGCCTTCTGGCAGCCCTGTGCTGAGTGTTCCCACCCTACCCTGTACCTCACTCAGGCATTTGGTCCTTGGGAGAGTACGTGGACAAACAGAACACCTCAGCTACCACCAATGCCCTACCGCAGTGGCGTGGACACTGGGCAGTACCAGCATCCTTGCTGGTTTCCTGGCCTCTGGGACTCCCTTCTAGTACCCTCAACACAGTGATGAGAACACTCCCCTGCTCAAAGTTCTTCAACACTTCTCCACTGTTGATACACACATCCTTGTGCCAGCAGTCATGTCCATTATCATCTGGCCCCTGCCTGCTGTCCTCTATCATTAGACACACACATGTCACGTGCTAGGGCTACACAACGCTGGGAAGCCCCAGAATAAGCCAGGTCCTCTGTACCTCCCTAACTGCACATGTTGTTCTGTGCCATGCCTGGAACACTTCCCTTCCTGTCCTCTTATGCCCCAACACACACACACTCACTCTCTCCCTTCCCTCCCTCCACATGTTTGTTTGCCTGGAAAATTCCTCCTTACCCTTCAAGTCTCAGCCCAAAGGAAGCCAGAGTGCCCCCAGCACAGACTTAGAATCTCCTTTCCCAGGGCTGCCTGCGTGAACTCCCTGCCCAGAGCTCCCTGCATCTGTACACTCCCCAACTCAAGTGATGACCACACAGTGTTCTAATCAATTATATGTCCGTGTCCTCACAAACTGTGAGCTCCTTGTGGGCAGGAACAGAGTGGTTTTTGTCTATATCATGGTAAGCCTAGGGCCTCAGCCAACATTAGGTCCTTAGTAAACATTGGTCGAGTGAATGAATGCACAAATGAAGGAATGACTGCCTTATTGCAACTTGCCCCGGTAAGACAGAGATGGCACAGCTTCAGGGACCCAGGATTGAGTTATTAAACAGAGCCACCAAACCTTGGGGTTATCCAGTCTCAAAGCATTACTCTATTGAAGATAACAGTGTGAGGCTCAGAGAAGGGAGACAGTGGCCCAAAGTCACACAAGTTAGGGGCAGAGACAGAACTCAAGCCCAGGCTTCCTAGCTCTTGACCTTGGACTAATTTCACTGTCCAGCCCAAGAGATGTGTGAAGCTGCTTTAAGTAACTGTCTGGGTGGCTCCACTAGCAGTTCCATCTCTCAGCTCCTGATTTTCCTCATTCCCAGGTGAGAGAATAGCTGCAAATTCATTGAGCCTCAGTTGCCACATCTGTCCAATGGAGAAAATCTGCAGAGACTCTCAGGGCTGCAAGGAGGACTCAGGGAGATATGGATGCACAGAGGTGTGGGGGTGGGCTCTGAAGTCGGCCAGAGCAGTGTTCAAATCTTAGCTCTCCCCAATTGTGTGACCTGGAACAAGTGAGTTTCATTCCCTCATCTATGAAATGGACAATATGAACCGTACCTAGTATGCCTAGTGGTGAGGATTCAATGCAATCAGATGTGCCACGCACTGAACACAGAGCTGAGCACATAGTAGGTGCACAATAAATGCTGGCTATCATCACCATCATCATCATCCCAGAGTCCATTTCCCCATTTCTCTCCCCCTTCTCTCCAGCCAAAAACTTACCTGCCCCCTCCTGCCGGAACTGCTGTGTGTTAGTGACCCTTAGTTAGGTTGATAAGGTAATTCCCGCCCATGGCTTGAAGATACCACTCTGCCCAGATAACCACGTTTGCCTGGTTACCCTTGTGCCTTAACCCCCAAAGAGCAGCAGCGAGGAAATTAAGAAGTGGATAGAGAAGCTAGTGTTTGGACGCCCCACCACCCCGTACACCACCCCATCACACCTCTGTGCATCCTGATTTCCCTGAGCCTTCCCTGCAGCCCTGATCATCTCCATAGATTTTTTTTCCCCATTAGACAGATGTGGCAACGGAGGCTTGGTGAGTTTGGCTGCTGCCATTCTCTCATCTAGGAATGAGGAAAATCAGCAAGAGCCCAGTTCCTCTAAACCAGGGGTCCCCAGCCGCCAGGCTGTGGACTGGTACCGGTCCTTGGCCTGTTAGGAACCGGGCCGCACAGCAGGAGGTGAGCGGCAGGCGAACGAGCGAAGCTTCATCTGCCGCTCCCCATCGCTCCCCATCGCTCCCCATCACTTGCATTACCGCCTGAACCATTCCCCCCCCACCGCCTGTCCATGGAAAAATTGTCTTCCATGAAACCAATCCCTGGTGCCAAAGAGGTTGGCGAATGCTGCTCTAAACCATAGCTGTGCGACCTCGGGCAAGTCTGCCTCACCTCTCTGAGTCCCGGTCCCCTCATCTGTAGAATGGGTATACAGGCTCTCAGCCTAGAGCTAGACCCCAAGCTGATGAGAGTATGAGAGTCAGCCTGTCACCGAGAGAAGAGACCCCATGAGCCAGGCTGTGGCTCCTGGAGATGGCCAGGCCTCTTGCCTCCCACCGTGAAGGGGGCAGGAGAGCACAAGTCACAGCTGCCTCCCCTCCCCGCCCTTGAGAAAACCACGAACCAGAGGCCTGAGTGTTTACAGCCCTCTCTGGGCAGGGAATGGGTTACGTAATGCCAGATGTTTGTGCAACTGGCTCAGACCCAGGTCTGAGACACTTTGCAATCCCAGAGCCCCTCGCAGGCCCTCCCTCCCTCTCCCCCTTGCCCCCAGCCTGGCTCCCCTTGGCCTGTTTGCTGATTGGGAGCTTTCAGCTGGGTGGATTATTCCATCACCCCTCACCCTGAAAGATGAAAACAGCCCCAGCCTGGTCCTGCAGGTGGGACGTCCCCCTCGCTGCAGAGACCACGGAAGCTCTGGGCCCTGCTTCCAGCTCTCCTTCCTCATGTGGGGCCTCCACATCTCTCCCTCAGAGCCCCTACTGGCTTTCCTTTGACTGACACCAGCCTCCTCCCTCCCCTCCCCAACTCTCCCCACCCTCACCCCACCCCCACCCCACTGGAGCCAGCCTACCCTTTGCCACCTGAGGACCCCCAGAGACAGCAGGAACGGATTGAACAGCGTGGGACGGTCCCCGGGCATCCGCCATGAGGTCACCAGTCGGCCCTTGAGTGGGCTCCCAGCCTTGCCCTCCGCTGGCCTCTTGTCTGCCTGTCGAACAGGGTCCAGTGTTGGCCCCCACGTCCCTGACGACAGCCTCCCCTGCCCATGCTGCCATGCCCACCTCAAAGGCCCAGGGTTGCCATCTTTCTCCTCTCCCAGAACTGCCGAGGTGGACTGCCCCGTGTTCACACCGCGTGGTGTTGGTTGACAGGGCTCCTGGGGCTCAGCGCCCTTGGGGATGTGCACTTCTCCACCCTCAGGTCAGACCCCAGGTGGCCGGCGGGAGGGCAGCGTGGACCACAGATGTGTATTCAGCCCGCATAAGGTTTTCAGATTATTTTGCATTAGGTTCCAGTGTTAAATAATCAAGTAGTTTAACACATAGCTACATATTTCCAGCTCCTCTTGAAATATCTAAAGATGGAGAAACTCTGGGCTCCTCTTCCCCAAGGCAACAACCCTCTGGAGCCAAGGGGTCACTCAAGGGCCCCCTAATCCTGAGCCCCCCATCTGCCTACTTTCCTCCCCTTTGTGAAGGGAATGAGTCACAGACTTCTACAGCCACACACCCAGCAGAGTCCCCAGTGCACCCTCTTTGGAGTCATCCTTGTTGGGGAAACTGAGGCCCCAGTGAAGCAGAGGCATTTGCCCAAAGTCACAGAGCAAGTTACTGGCAGAGGCAGGGCAGAGCCCAGGTGTCGCAACTCTTCAGAATCCAGAG